TCCGCGTGCGTTTGCTTCCGAGCACAACCTGTTCCCTGCGGTTGACGCTCACATGTTCTCCTTCCCAGAGCTTTACAGCTACACCGAGGAGCCCGAGTTTGCTCTGAACAGAGACTACTTTGAGGAAGACTTCCGAAGCCATGGTACTGTGTGTGTGTGTTTGTGTGTAGTTAAAAAAAAAAATCTAATTTTGCTGACATGCATGCCATACTTCCATTTGTCCTATAAGCCGATTTGGTGTAAGATGATGGAACTCGGCACATCAAAGCTCTGCTGCTTTTTTTAAGCTGTTGGAGGTGGCGGAATGAATCTCCTCTCTGATGTCGGGTCCTAATCAGGCAAAGGCTAAGCTACAGCCTGAAATAATTCTTTGGCACCCGGTTCTCGTTCAGTTTAGTAAAAAAATTTGGGAAAGTCATTTTATAATTGGTGCGAGTAAAGAGCAGGGTTCTGTTCCATACTGAGTGCAGATTTACAGCAAGCAGGCACCAGCCCTTTTCCCTGAGAAAAGCACTCTTTATCTGTAGCCTCTTCAAAAAAAAAAAAAAATTACTGAATCAATTTAAAAAAAAAAAAGCCTGTCTGTCATCAATTCCCTCAAAGTGCTTTGTAGCGTACCTTCACATGTAACATGTCTTCTAATATTATATTTAGTACCTTTCAAAGGTCCTCGGGAGCGATATTTCACAGATGTTGCTATGTGAATGAAAGTGTCCTTGAAAATGACCTCACCCACGTCTTCCCCCGCGCAGCCCGTGGCCGACGGTGGATCGATTTGAGCGCGGAGGAGCGCCGCACGTACGTGATGAGATTACTGGACGCGCTGGAGGTGACCGACCGTGACAAGAGACTGAAGGTGGCGCGGGCCATCCTCTACCTCGCTCAGGGTACGCAGCTCCCGCCTGTTGCAATCTTTTAGATGCGGTGCTGGGAAGAAACCATGTACGAAGGCTTCGTTTTTGTTCTTCAACCTCATTCGTTGCCATTGACGGCTGTAGAAGTCAAAGCTCTGCTCTATTGTTTTTACCCGGGCTGGCAGTGTATGAGTTAAGTCGGTTTGTCAGCTCTCTGGAAGTACAGTGAATTGGTTTTTGTACCGCGCAGGTGTGTTTGACGAATGTGACACCGAGGTGGACGTGCTCCGCTGGTCCAGGCGCAATCTCTTCCTCCTGTACGACATGGGCATCTTCACGGCCCTCCTGGAGCTTCTCAGCATGGAGATGGAGTGAGTACCAAGTCCCAGGAGAAAGCCTTCATGCAGACAACATGAGATCAGATGCAAAAATGCATTTGTTTGAATTTTGCAGCAACAGCCAAGCCTGCAGCAGTGCAGTGAGGAAGCCCGCCATCTCCCTCGCAGACAGCACAGAACTCCGGTGAGGAGCGTTGGCGCTTGCACCCATCTCGATACATTTGAATCTTCCATCAAAGTTAACGAAACGCGCATCGTCGCTTTCAAGAGTCTTGCTCAGCATCATGTACCTGATGGTGGAGACCATTCGAGTTCAAACGGAAGACGACAGACCCGAGTGGAGAGCGGCCAGGGAGGCCTTCAAGAACGAGCTCGGTGGGTAGAATGCGCGCCAAGCGTTTGTCTCCATTGACCGGCGATGGATAGTGCACACTTCATGTTGCGGTGTTTGAAATTCACCCCCTCCTCCACTCAGGCGCACCTCTGTACAACGGCGAGCCTTTTGCCCTGCTTCTCTTCTCCATGGTGACCAAGTTCTGCAGCATGAACGCGCCACATTTCCCCATGAAGAAAGTGCTGCTTCTTTTATGGAAGACGGTGCTGGTGAGTAATGCGCATGAATAGGGCCGGACAATTTTGAAACGTCATCATATTTGCACAAGCGTGCTGTAAAAGTCAGGGAGTCATAAATCGGGGTCGCAGGAATAAAGCGAACAAGTGTGGCGTTATTCAGCATGTCAGCTTTTTGTCTTTAACGAAAACAATGGGGAGCTTGACACGCGGTAAAAACGCATCGCTTAAGTGTAGCTCCGCTTCCACAAATCTCGTCTTCCCAGTTCACCTTGGGGGGCTTTGAGGAGCTGCAGGAGATGAAGGTGCGGGGCCGCCAGCGTCTCAACCTCCCCCCGCTCCCCGAGGACAGCATCAAGGTGGTCCGGGCCATGAGAGCCGCCTCGCCGCCCGCCTCCGCCATGGAGCTCATCGAGCAGCAGCAACAGCAGAAGAGAGGGCGGCGCAGTCGCAGGGTACAGAAACGCCGACACTGGACACACGCCACAAACACACAAATTGACAATAAAAGTTGTTAAAATTGATGTTTAGAATTTCAAAAATTGAAATGAAAACCTCTTTTTGTTGATTTAAAATTGAAAAAAAAAACTACTTTGTGTGGTCAATAAATCCCTGAGACAAAACAAAACAGACAATTTGTGACTCGTGAACAGCGACTATGTCAGAAATGATGGGTAGAACATTGGGTATGAGAGCGTTTGACCCACTTTAACGAACAGCCTAAGCAACATTTAGCGCTAACACACCCTACACACTTACCTGAGACTAACTGTTGTTTTTTTTTCCTCATTCCATTAAAACAATCCTTCTCTAACTCATCCAACATTATAACCGGGCCCAAACGAGGCACGCCAACGGGCTCGCCCTCTAATTTCCCTCATCGTGTCTCATTTCGCCTCTCCCTTGTGTCCCCACAGAGTGCCTTTGTTGATAGCTTGGAAGGAGAAAGTCCCTTTCCCAAGAAGCAGGTCTTTACCCGCTTTTTTTTTTTAAATCCCCCTGCATTGAGCTTTTCTTTTTTTTTTTTTGTTGCATTCCTTCGCCTCACCTCAGTTTGCCTTCCTCCCTCCTCATGTCTGACCTTTGTACTCCCTTTTTGTGATGTAACAAGTCATCGCGCCGGGATACCCCAAGACTGCTCACTACCGAATTTTGAGATGTGGCACTGCCTTGCTGGCTTGTTGTCTTTGACGCTGGTCCCACCTTCCCACTAAGACAGTCGTAGCACCCCCACCCCCACCGCTCCCGCCACTACGTAGTGTCCATCACATTACTGCCTCCAACACAACCATGCGCTGGAGAAACTGCAGCAAGGGGTCATTAAAATGCATTCATCTAAGAGGTGAGCTGAGGAGTTTCAAGCTTGTCGTATTTGGCTGACAGTCCACCTCCATGATGGCTGCCATTGAATGCAGTTGACCCCAATTAAAAAAAAAAAAAACGTCGGCCTCCCCGCATAGCAGGAATGGCTTGTTGTTGGTCGAGAATGTTGTTGTCCACTCGTACGGCATCCTCACTGAGTCCCACCGGTGGCGCGCCTTCCACCGCAGCAACGCAACTAACGTGCACCGCGCTGACTCATGCCTGGTTGCTTGCACTACTGCCACGCACACTCATTCATCCGAGCGACACTGCGTCGACATGAAATGTGTGTGTGTGTGTGTGTGTGTGTGTGTGTGTGTGTGTGTGTGTGTGTGTCGTGTCTCACGTTTCCAATAGCAATTGTGTGGAGGTGCGCATTTAATGCCTTTTGTTTGCAGTTGTTAAAATTGATGATTGGAATTTCAAAAATTGAAATGAAAACCTCTTTTTGTTGATTTAAAATTGAAAAAAAAAACTACTTTGTGATCCCCCCCCCCATCCCGCCTCAGCCGCTGGTCAAACAGGACAGTCTGGACACGTACAACGAGCGGGACCCGTTCAAGAACGACGACGCCCGCGACGAGGAGGAGGACCCCGAGGACGGCGACAGCGGCATGGAGGGCGAGGTAGACCCGTTGGACCGGGATGTCATCATCCAGCCGCCTCCTCCTCTCCTCCGGCCCCCCGCCGAGAGGGTCAACTTCCCCAAGGGCCTCCCTTGGGCCCCCAAAGTCAGGTAATGCATCGTTTGAAAGCATTAAATTGCTTTGAAAGAGAATAAATACTTCACGCGTGGACGACGCTTTCACGCCCGAAATCTGCATGTGTGAAGATTTCTATTTATTTAGTCAGCTTCATTTCTCACCATATGCTCCCCATCTGTGATTCTATGATCGTGTTGCTCCTGTCGAGGTTTTATGATCAGCTATAAAGTACTTCAGTTGCGTTCTTTTAATCGAGTCTGCTGAGCAGGGAAGAAAGTGAAAAAGTGGGCAAACACCGTAGCGTGCTCCCATCATTTAAACGTAACGTCTCATAATTGTCTCATGCGTACCCGCAGGGAGAAGGACATCGAGCACTTCCTGGAGACCAGTCGGAACAAATTCATCGGCTTCACCCTCGGAAAGTCAGTGCTCCGCCGCCGGCATCTGTTGATCGCCACGCCGATATTTCATTCAAGGTCAACTCCTCCGAATTTCTGTTTCAGTGACATCGAGACCCTCGTCGGCCTGCCCCGACCCATCCACGAGAGTGTCAAGACTCTTAAACAGGTGAGTGAGGGACTCGGTCCTTTTTAATCCCCTGGTTATACACCGGCTACAAAATGCCCGTGCAAATGTACCGTACTTGAAAGTTAAATACAACCGAATGTTGCAGCACAAATACATGTCCATCGCCGAAGTGCAGATGAAACGAGAGGAGGAGTTACAACAGTGTCCGCTGAGCTTGGTGAGTTTCTCACACTCTCTTGCTTCTTGTAATGCTCTCTTAATTTTCACGTGTAATATTCACCGACTGCTGCGTAGGGCGAAGAGGAGGTGGAAGAGACCCCCGCAGAGACTCTCTACCTGGGCCTGCTTCCAAACCTCTCCCAATACGTGGTGGGTTTTGTTCACGTGTGGAGTCGGCGAGAGAAAATGGCCGCCTGAATTTTGAAAGTATGTTTGCTTTTATTTCCTTGTTGCGTTAGATCGCCCTCCTCAAGCTGTTACTGGCCGCCGCGCCAACCTCCAAAGCCAAAACGGACTCCATCAACATCCTCGCCGACGTGCTGCCTGAGGAGATGCCGTAAGTGCGGCAGCCGCCGCCGTCCGTTCTTCCGATGACGTGATCGATGCGTGTGTTGTGCAAGCCCGGCGGCTGTTAAGGTGCCGACATTTTTTTGTTTTTTTTTTTCTCTGCAGCATCACAGTCCTCCAAAGCATGAAGCTGGGCATCGATGTCAACCGCCACAAAGAAATCATCGTCAAGGCCATCTCGGCCCTGCTGCTCCTCCTCCTCAAACACTTGAAACTCAACCACGTCTACCAGGTGACGCCCGCGTCTCAATGCTCTGCGTTTCTGCTCCCCCTTCCACTCATGCAGCAGTTTTGGTTGCTTGGAGTCAACGTTTTTTTGCACCGTGTGTGTGTTTTTTTTGTTGTTTTTTTTAAATAGGCTACCCTTTTAAGTTGAAGTAATAGTGCCCTCTGCTGCCAGGTAGAAGACGGCACAGCCACAGCAGTTGTATCAATAGGCCAAAAATGTTCAGTCGCGTGTTAAGTTTTCGAGTCGCAAAATTGACCAAATGGCTTCTTCCTTCTCCAGTTTGAAATCGTCTCCCAGCATCTGGTGTTTGCCAACTGCATCCCGCTCATCCTCAAATTCTTCAACCAGAACATCATGTCTTATATCAGTGCCAAAAACAGGTAGGCTTCTCCACCTTGGTTCGGTTGAAGTAAATCCATGCGCCAACGTACAATGTCCACTAGAAGGGAAGGCGCAAGTGACTGGTATCGGCAGCATTCACGAGCACTCGATACATTGATGTAAGGGCCCGATACATACATGTGTATATATAAAGAGAGCTGGCTGGGGAGAGAGACAAATCAGTTTACAAATGCAGGATTTGTTGCCAACTCAGCAATTTGGTTGCCACATTGAGCAACTTTTCCAACCTCTGGAGCAAAACCATTTCCAATCCAGGCCCTATCACGTGTTTTTCTATGCAGTATATGTGCGTTGGACTTTCCCCACTGCGCCGTCCATGAAATGCCTGAGCTCACCGCCGAGAGCCTGGTGAGTCTAAACAACTGCCGGACCCGATTTTGTGAAGCGCATTCAAATAAATACATGAATGAACCAAAGTCACTCTGTGGTGCCGTTTGTTGTGTTGCCAGGAAACTGGAGACAACAACCAGTTCTGTTGGCGGAATCTGTTCTCCTGCATCAACCTGCTGAGAATCCTCAACAAGCTGACCAAGTGGAAACACTCTCGGACCATGGTGAGAGGCGATGCAAGAAGTACATTCTCAGTCTTTCAGGGTCATCCTGTGCAGAGACTATTTGAAATATTTTGGTTTCCAGACATCAAATATGTCTTGGCGCCTCTCCTTACTATGCACCCCCCACCCCCCTCCTCCGCCCCATCAGATGTTGGTGGTCTTTAAATCAGCCCCCATCCTGAAGAGAGCCCTCAAGGTCAAGCAGGCCATGATGCAACTGTACGTGCTCAAGCTGCTCAAAATCCAGACCAAGTACTTGGGCCGCCAGTGGCGGAAGAGTAACATGAAGACCATGTCGGCCATCTACCAGAAGGTCCGCCACCGGCTCAACGACGACTGGGCCTACGGCAACGGTAAAAAAACAAAAAAGCACTCGTACTTTCGTACTTCACCCGCCCCTACAAGTTTTGTATTTGACACGACTCAGCAATAATGTCCACGTTTTCCAGATATCGACGCGCGGCCTTGGGACTTCCAGGCGGAGGAGTGCGCCCTTCGCGAGAACATCGAGAGGTTCAACGGCCGGCGCTACGACAAGAACCGCAACGGCGACTTTGCGCCCGTGGACAACTGCCTGCAGAGCGTGCTGGGCCAGCGCGTGGACCTGCCCGACGACTTCCACTACAGCTACGAGATGTGGCTGGAGAGGGAGGTGTTTGCACAGCCCATCGAGTGGGAGGGCCTCCTGGCGGATCAGTGACAGGGCAGGGGGAGCACCGACAGGGCATGCCCATGCCGAGTGTCAACACGTACGGATGAGGCGGCCAAGAACCGAGGTAGCAGTTTCTTATAACGGGGGTTCTCTCGAGCAGTATCTTTAAGGATCCACTAAATAAATAGCATGAAATTATTGTCTGATTAAACATAATAAAACAATTAGGCCTTTCTACCTTTTGGGCAGTTAAGATCCTTGATATGATTGTTTTACTTATTTTTTTGTGGAAAATAGGCAACTCTTTATGGGGGGTTTTGTATGCGACCAGTCCCAATCCCTCGCAATTAAGATTGGACAGGGTTCCTTGGAAGGAAAAAAATAATTTACACTGACCTGAATAGTCTGAGAACCCCTGCCGAAGCAACATCTTGTAGCAACAACTTTTATGACTCCTGCTCTTTTTATGCACTCCTCCAAAGTCGTTTTCCCTGTTCGCCGCTTTTTGAGTCCCCCATTTTGAAAATACGGGTGCTGGTTTGACCCCTTCCTTGTTTGTATGCGGTGAACTTTGTAAAAAATGTGTTTTTAAAGGGGGTGGGGGAGGGGGGGGTGAAACAATGAAAAGTATAATCCAGTGTGTCCTAAAACATTTGTAGACGAACAGCATCGTGTTTACCAACCACACCACCCCCTAAAAAGGTCACAAAATATCTACTGACATGATCATATCATCTCAATTATTTAGAAATGTACTTTATTTCAAATCTCAGACTTTAGTGATGTCATAGTGTGGATTCTAATTAGGTGGGTTCTTCTCAATCCGCCCATCGACTGCAAAAAAAAAAAAAAACCTCTAGAGCTCGCAATTGCCTTCACAAGCACATTGTTGTCACAATTTTTTTAATTTCTTTCTCTACCTGACCTGCCAACCAGAAAAGCTTCAGGGAAATTGTGGGCTCCAATGAAGCACAAACAAAATTGTCTGAACAGTCATTGTTGTATTTCAAACGGTTGTCTTGACTTTCAGTTCTGTGTTTCCCGCCACTCTTCTTCCCCCCACTGTTTTTATTTCACCAATGCCTCTGAATAATATACATGTAGAATCTCAGGTTTACAAGGACACTATATTGCAAAGCTTTTATCACTCTTAGATCCTGAACACTCGCACATTCTTGGACTGAACCTATCCCTCACTTTGTTACTGGTGTGCCAAACAAATATGAGTGGCGTTTTAGCTTCCTCACTATCTCCTCTGTTGTCATGCTGTTTTAAAATGCCAAATGTTATTTATTTTCTACATCAAAGCTGTACAGTCTATAAAATTAGAGATTTATTGTATCGAGGAGAATCAAAAGGTGTTGACGGTTCTTTTAATGTGCAATTACGGATCCGCAGAGGTTTTATTCATGACATAATAAATACATTACAGCTCTATTTAAACAATGTTAAAAATGATTTGCTTCTCTGCCTGATTTTTGAGATTTGCGGGGTGTGGGGTGCAGTTAGCGATTATGACTAACCAAGGAGAAAATACAGCAAAAAGCACATGGAAGCCAAAGGCTTTCGCTAGTTCTTGTGGCATTTTCCAGTGTATGTGATGCAACAAGATAGTCTAATCTAAATTACCAAGAAATTACAAACATTTTATAAAAGATGTATATAATATAAATATTATTTCCGAATTCATAATTGACATTTTATTTGCGTATCGATCAAAAGGCGTTACCGGAAGTGAAAACTTTGACCTCTGACGCTCGACCAATCAACGTGCCGCAAACAGCACCTGGCTGCATTCTCAACACGGTAGTCTGTCATTTCTGTTTCTTGGGTTTTTTTGTTAAAAAGTTACCTTTGTATCATGACATTTAAATACCCTTTTGACACGTCCCTTAACGTTTCAAGGCGTAGCCAAAACTCAAATTCCCTGAACTTTTCGTCAATGAAAAAGTAGTCATTTGACGGGGCGACGGTTAGCAGTTTAGCTAACGTTAGCACGAGTTGACGTCGTAAATAAACGCACAGCTGCGATATTCAGATTCAGAAAACTTTATTTATCCCCGTGGGGCAATTAGGACTTAACAGGCACGCTCTGCACAAGAAGAAACATGTGAGTCTTGTCGTTTTGTGTATTTCGGTGTCCCGGAAACTTCACAGCATATTACATTGATAGTCAGCCAGGCGTGTACCTAAGTGGACACATCGCCCCGGTTTGGTCGATGCGACGCACGCTCAGTTGCATAATTTTCGCCTCGGGGGAAGCAGTGTGTCAACGGCCACCATCTCATCGCTCGCACGGTCCACACCGAAGCGAGGTGGCATCACACGCCGGCCCACAGCGATGTGCCACTCCGCCCTCGATGCTGCTGCTGCATGTCCACAACTTGCATTTGTCTCTATTCACGTTACTGGATATTGTTGGGGGAAGAGCGAGCTCCTCTCTCCCGCGCGTTCGTTGAATTTCGGACGAGGAGGATATTGGTTATCCAAATAAAGGCTGGAGTCGGTGAACAGTTCCTTCGAAGCTTTTAATAACGGAATATTCCGGGCACCCGCGAATTACAGACAATGGCTGCGCGTCACGAGTGCGAAGCACGAAGAGAATCACATCATTTTTATATCATCAGAAGGGCGGTACCGGGACGCAAAGTGTGATATCATAACTTTCGTTTCTCCGAAACCGGTTCTCAGCTTAGCGCATGTCAATGTTTGTGAGTCTCCAGCAGGGAGTATTTTAACTCCGAAACCGATTCTCAGTTTAGCGCATTTCAATGTTTGTGAGTCTCCAGCAGGGAGTATTTTAATTTTAAGTGATGATTGTTACAAGGACGCCAAGCTACACTGCAAGCATGGGAAAGTTATACAGCATGACTAAATATGTGCAGAGTACAGACTAAATATGAGCAGAATACAGACTTCAATATCTGCCATCTGATTACGGGATTTTGAGTGAAGGTAAGTGAGCTTTGGAACTACAAACGTTTGTCTTGACAACAAGAGAACAATGTTTAGTTTTGTTTGCCACAGTTTCGTAAGAAGATGTTAGGTGTAGTTTGCAACCGTTTTGACTGGGGCTGAACAATTTTGAAATAGAAATTATCCAACTGCGCCCCCCCCCCCCGCGCCTCAACATTGCCATTTAATATTCGATTTTTTTTCTTCCCGTTTGCTTTTTAGCAATCACAAGCAATAAATACATTTGTATCACAACTGTCCGATTCAACATAACACACCCTGACAAATCTTAAATTCAAATCTCATATTTGACACCACCCAGCCTCAGTGTATGCAACAAAAGCATGATTTTTTAAGGTCACTTGTAAGAACCCACGTCACATTTTAGACTGAAGACCGTAAAGGCACTCCTAATGTTTTACGCTGCTTGTTGAACTTGTTGCCGGTTCTGTCGACAGAAAAATGAGTACAAGGAGAAGAGGTGGGAAGCCCAACAGAGGGGGAGGGAAATTCAACAAGCCAAGAGGAGGAGATGGGGGAGGCGGAAGGAAAGGAGGAAGCGGCCGCTGGGATGATGATGCCGACGATGATTTCACCCTTGATTTAGCACCCCAGCGTCCATCCAGCAGGTATAATAAACCTTCAATCTGAACATTACTTTCTTCTGTCCTAAATGCGGATATTCTCTCCAGACCCGCCAAAGCACGAGGTGGCAGTAGCCACGTCAGGAATAGCAATCCCGGATGGGGAGGCCGAGATCGAGGAGGCAGATGCAACCGAACTGTTCTCCCGAAATCCCTGGCGAGGAACCGAACATACACCAAGGCGAGTGACGGCGACAGGCCCGACGCGAACAACATGCCCATGCAGAAGATTTTCATGACCGACAAGAACCAAGAGCTCCTCAAGGAGCTGCTGTGGGACCTGCGGACACGCGAATTTGACGAGCGTGACGAGTAAGGCAAATGTCGAACGAGCAGAGGAGCATTGAAAACACTTGAAAACCATTTCTCGTACGCCCTTAGTGACACCGGTTTCGATGATTTGAACGAGGAAGAAGCAGAGGAACACGATGAGATGGACCACCGTGAGGAAGGCCAGTTTTGGACCACCGCCGACGAGCCTGTAGAGAGAGCAGAGAGCCCGAGAGATTACGAGTCTGACAACGAACGGGCTCCAGTTGAACCTGTCGTCTCCTTGTTTGCTATCGGCAAACTCTGCAGGTGATCGCGCATCTCGATGTCGTAGGATCAAATATTTTTGAACCCTCACACCCTTGTAGCAGTTGGTTCTGGTCCAGGGTAAAGCGGGGTTCACTGTACGACTTGATATTGTGTATGTTTAACCGTTCACCTTGTTGCTTGGTCTAGGTACGGCTTTGACCGGGAACGCAGCAAGCAGGCACTGGAGTCATGCGGGGGAGAATTCGGCGTTACTTTGGAGCACCTTCTTCACCAGGTTTACACCGAGCGTTACGGACAGGAAGCGCTTTCCACCGCGGGCCTCTCCGCCAAGCCCATGGACGAGTGCCTGAACCAGAGGCAGGAGGAAGCCCTGGCGCTGGCTGCCATATACGGCGACCGCTTCCAGGAGCGCATCACCAATTCAGTGTGGGTCATAACATTGGATGCCCTATTCCTCACGGACAACATTGGCAAAAGCTACAGCGCCAATAAGAACGGTGGGAAGTCCTCGAAAAGAATCTGCCAGTTCTACTTACAAGGAAGAGGCTGCAGGTATGGCAGCAAATGTAAGTTCAAACACCAAGCTCCGGATAAAGACTTATCAGACCAACGGGGGCCAGCTCAGAGTGGGATCAGCAGCTATTCTCGCCCAGAGTACGAACTGGAGATCCGTTTCCCCAAAGGGAACTGCTACCCATCTCAAGCGGCGGTCGTGGCCTTCAGCACCAACGATGAGTCCATCGGCGCCGCCGGGAGGCTCAGCGTGACCGAAAGGTTGTTCGGGGAGGCGCTGACGGCCGCCCGCAACACAGAACCTGTGGTTTATACTCTGGTTAGCGTGTGCGAGGACGAGGCCACCATGAAGGAGCTGCTGGACGTCACGCATCACAAATACAGCAAGCCGCCGCCCGTTGTGGTTCCCCCTGCCTCGGTTGCTCCACCAAAGCCGACGATCGGGACCAGTAAGGCTTTGGACAGAAGCGTCTGTCCCAGCAGAAGGCTCACACCGCCAGTAGACCGTGAGGACTCTTTTTCCGTTTTGATTAATTCAGATAAACTTTCCAAAAATATATTCAGGCTTTTTTTTCTTTTTGGAACACAGGTAGCAAAATAAACACAAGCACATATTCGCACATGACCGTCCATCTGCCACAACCGACGCAGAATCACTCAACCTGCAGAGCGGCTAACAGTTTAGCGGCCAGCCAAATCTACACACTCATTCAATCCGACAGATAGCCAGCGTAAAATAGTATCCAAATTCCACGATGTCTTTTGTGTTTTTGTGAAAAAGGGACTGGAGAGGCCGAGGGCCCGGAAGAAGACGACGACGTCCCCGTCGAGAACGTCAGCTCTGTCAACCTGAGGAAGAGGGTGCCCAATAATCCCAATCTGCTGCAAGAGAACGCCAAGATGTGCAGAGACTTTCACAGGAAACAGGTCTAGAGATGAAGACCAAAAAACAAAAAAAAAAAACGCTCAACTTGTGTTTCTGTGTTCATGACTCATCGTGTCACTCCGTAGTCGTCCAAACGCTTCCAGTCAATGCTGGAGCAGAGGACGAAGCTGCCGGCTTGGAATGAAAGAGACAACATTCTGGATCTGCTGGACGGCTGTCAAGTGTTGGTTGTCAGCGGTATGACGGGGTGAGTCACTCAAAAGTATTTTTCCCGAAAATTGCCTCATGGAAACGGACATTCTCATCCATTTTTTTTTTTTCAAGCTATCTCAATAATTAGCCTCTTCAACCGAAGGAATTTTCATCTTTCATCTCTGAAGGTGCGGCAAGACAACTCAGATCCCCCAGTTCATTCTGGACGCTTCCTTGAGCGGCCCGGCGGATAAGGTGGCCAACATCGTCTGCACTCAGCCGCGCCGCATCTCCGCCATCTCGGTGGCCCAGCGGGTGGCGCAGGAGCGCGCTGAGAGTCTCGGCAACTCCGTGGGCTACCAGATCCGCCTGGAGAGCGTCAGGGTGAGTGGACACGGGCTGCCTAGCAATACTGTCTACTCTTATTTAGCAAATATTTCAAGACTGCCTTGCGTTTTTATCCCCCCCACCCAACTGCTTTTAGTCATCCGCCACCAGGCTGCTTTACTGCACCACTGGAGTGTTGCTGAGAAGACTGGAGGGAAACGTGGACCTTCAAGGCGTCACCCACGTCATTGTGGATGAGGTGCACGAGCGCACCGAGGAGAGGTCCGTTCCTTCTCAAAATTGCCTGGAAAATAGACATTCACTGGGGGCAAGGCGAGCTTAAAAGAAACAAAAAAACCCACACACACACTCATGGCATGCTTTTAATTCCTGCTCTTTCCAGTGACTTCCTCCTCTTGGTCCTCAAAGACCTGATTCTTCAGAGACCCGACTTAAAGATTATCCTCATGAGTGCCACACTGAATGCCAACCTCTTCTCTGAATATTTCTACGACTGTCCTACTGTGCACATACCTGGTAAAAAAAATATCTTCCACATGTACCTTTGTTTTGTGATAGTCTGGTTTCCCCGTGGTGAATATCTATTCACCTTTACAGGTCGCACTTTCCCCGTGACTCAGTTTTTCCTTGAGGACGTCATCTCTTTAACTCGGTGAGTGTCTCGAAATAGTAATAATAGTTGAAAGCTTGCCAAAAAAAAAAAAAAACACCAAAAAAAAAACAAAACCCTCCATTGGTGTTTTCAGCTACGTGATAGAGGACGGGAGCCCTTATATGCGCTCGAAGAGGCAGAACTCCTCCGCTGTGAGTTGGCAAGGAGGAAGAGGAGCCCCGAAGGACATTGTGGACACCTTGGGGGACGACATGTGGAACTTCATGTCTTTCACCAAAAAGGACTTTGTCAAGGACTCCATCCCGGACCAGCAGCTCAGCCTGCAGGAACTCACAGTTCGATTCAAAGGTGAACTGAGGTCAAGAGTCATTGCTCTTGAAACAACAACAACCGACGTGGCCCAAACTAATGGTTGTGCTGACCACGCAGATTGTAAAGCGTCCGTGCTGAAGACCATTGCTGCCATGGACCTGGACAAGATCAACATGGACCTGATCGAAAGTCTGCTGGAGTGGATTGTGGATGGAAATCACAGTTACCCCCCAGGCAAGAATCACATAAAGTGAAGGCTATTTATTTTCAAGGTAGCAGTTAAAAATTAAAACATCAATTTTGTCACCATGGTTGGAGATAAACTCAATCGAGGCAATTGTTTAGTTTTGTTTTTTTTTTTTTTTAAGGGGGCTTGATGACTCGGTTTGTTCCGCCATTGTTCAACTTTGATTTGGTTCACGTGTACTCCAGGTGCAGTGCTGGTTTTTCTTCCCGGGCTCGCTGAGATCAAGATGCTTTTTGAGCAGCTGCAGTCAAACGGGAAGTTTAACAACAGGCGCGCAAATAGGTGGGAGACCCTTTTTATACTGGAAATGTTGTCTACACAGACTGCAATACATTAGGATCGTATTTTTATTGTTGTTGTTGTTGTTTTGTTGGTTTTCATTAACGACAACAACCTTGGTGTGACCAATGTCAGATGTGTGGTGTACCCGCTCCACTCCACTCTGTCCAACGAGGAGCAGCAGGCCATCTTCATTCGCCCGCCGGAGGGCGTCACCAAGATCATCATCTCCACCAACATCGCCGAGACCTCGGTCACCATCGACGACGTGATGTACGTCATCGACTGCGGCAAGATGAAGGAGAAAAGGTGACTTTGTCAACTTTGCAAGTAAACAAACGCCCGAGGCCGGCGACGTGTTTTGTTGCAAGTGCGCCGTGCCCTTTTCAGGTACGACGCATCCAAAAGGATGGAGAGCCTGGAGGATTCTTGGGTTTCGCGGGCCAACGCGCTTCAGAGAAAGGGCAGGGCGGGCCGCGTGGCCTCCGGGGTCTGCTTCCACCTCTTCACCAGCCACTGCTTCCAGCACCAGCTGGCTGACCAACAGCTTCCCGAGATTCAGAGAGTTCCTCTGGAGCAGCTTTGCCTCCGGTAGATCCATCTGTTTAGCTCTCTGTTTGCCAGAATTACACTGGGGGGAAAAAAAAAATCACATCAAATCTGACTGGACTTAAATGTCAAAGCGTGCAAAATATAACGCATCTTTGTCAGCCAATGAATTTTCGGCCATTTTCATGAGTTTGTTTTTTGAAATAGGCAAGCGTCGACATTGTTTTTGGTGCTTCTGACAGCATCAAGATTCTGGATGTGTTCGCCGAGCAAACGCTGGAATCCGTCTTCTGTCGCGTCATCGAGCCGCCGGCCGTGGGCAGTTTGGATGTGGCCAAGCGGTGCCTGCAGGACCTGGGCGCCCTGACGGCCGAGGAGAAGCTCACCCCGCTGGGCTACCACCTGGCCTCCCTTCCCGTCGACGTGCGCGTTGGCAAGCTCATGCTGTTTGGCGCCATCTTCCGCTGCCTCGACCCAGCGCTCACCATCGCTGCCAGTCTCGCCTTCAAATCACCTTTTGTAAGAACTGCTTGCAAGCCAAATGTAGTGGACCCTTCGGAAAAGGTTTTAGTTCAGCTCTCAGCGGCGGCAAAAAAAAGGACCAAAACACGGTTACAATAGGCATGATTTTTTTTTTTTTTTGGTGGGGGGGTGGATTAGTTTGTTTGACTGAAAAATTTACAAATAGGTGAGTACAGAAATGGTGATTTTAGGGTCCGTTGTGTTTTGCTGTCTGTCCTCCAGGTGTCACCATGGGACAAGCGTGAGGAGGCCAACAACAAAAAACTGGACTTTGCGGTAGCCAATAGTGACCATCTGGCTCTGCTCCAAGCTTACAAGGTGGTCATCTACAGAGAAGAACCAGTCTGAACTCATTTGTAGTAATACGTTGGTGTTCTTGTTGTTTTTTGTTTTTTAGGGTTGGTGCAACGCCAAAAAGGCAGCCCACCTCTCCGGCTTCCGTTACTGCCGGGAGAACTTCCTGTCCGTGCGAGTTCTGCAGGAAATCGCTTCTTTCAAGCGGCAGTTTGCCGAGCTGCTTTCCGACATCGGTTTCATCAAAGAGGGGCTGAGGTCCAGGGTGATCGAGCGACTCGGCTCCAATGGCTCTGACGGCGTTCTCGAGGCTACTGGCCCCGAGGTACCGCGTCCACATCGTTGATACATGCCCCCTTTCTTATGCTCAGACTTGTTTAATTAAAGAAAAATAAGAATGATTTTGCTCCGTTCTAGGCAAACCTGAATGCTGAGAACATCCATCTCATGTCTGCACTGCTGTGTGCTGCCCTCTATCCGAATGTAGTGCAGGTACTCACATAAGTGGAAAAAGTAAATCCGAGATAGGAATTTTATGCACAAGCAGCCAAATGGTCCAGTTTGAATTTTAGATGGGCCGTGGGCACGAGCTAACCCGAACACCTGCAATGAAACCATTTGACGTGGTTGTTGCACTTGATGACCTGCGTTTTGGTCTCCAGGTCCAAGCGCCTCAGGGGGTTTACAAGATGAGCGTCAAAGGAGCCATGAAAATGCTGCCCAAGGCCAACGAGTTGCGCTTCTTGACCAAGAGCGACGGATGCGTCCACGTTCACCCCTCGTCCGTCAACTACAACGTGAGTGCGGCGACGAATTGAACCAAGCTCTTGCGCGACGACTCGAGCCTGTTTGCCCCTCTGCCCGAAAGGTCCGCAAGTACCCCAGCCCCTACCTGGTTTACCTGGAGAAGGTAAAAACCAGTCAGGTCTTCATCCGGGACTGCAGCATGGTGTCCGTGTATGCTTTGGTGCTCTTCGGAGGCGGTGAGGTCAACATGGACATGCTCAGAGGCCAGTGTGTCATCTCCCTCGACGACGGATGGATTCGATTCGCCGCCGATTCTCACCAGGTCAGCACCAATGGAGATGTATTTACCTCATCGGCTTCGATAGCATTTTTGCCAGAGGGGACAAAAGTACTCAAGGTCCGAAAAAACAAACAACAAAGATTTTATAATGAAGCATTTGTACGTCATCCAGGTGGCCGAGCTGGTAAAGGAGCTGCGCTGGGAGCTGGACCGGCTGCTGGAGGACAAAATCCGGAGCCCCAGCATGGACCTGTGCAGCTGCCCCCGCGGCTCCCGCATCATCCGCATGATCGTCAACCTCGTGTCCACTCAGTAGCCCTCTCCAAAAGTGCTTCTGCCCATGATGAGCTCACCTTTGTTTTTCAATCGCCGTCTGTGCACTCATGAATATCGGGGGAGCAGGGTGCACTTCAACACAAACTGTTGTTTACAAACAAAAGCCTTGTGTACTGACAGCTGGGTTGTTTTTTATTTTTTTTTTTTGATGAGAAATTAATGCTGCGTTGTGTTATTTAAATAGAATGCCATGGCAAATCCTCCTTGAAGGGCATATCACAATGCTTCCATGTTTTGATGTACTCTTGTCGATTTCTTGGCTCCCTAACGGATGCCTCGTACGTACCCAAAGCGACGGTACACTTACGACGGGGGGTCCAGCGGGTTGCATCCATTTCACATATTTAACACCATTTGAATGTATTTGCATGCTCAACAATGTGGCTCCCAAGGGCTTTTTGAATGGAGGAGTTGCCAAAGAATTTGTCCGACGACATTTGAAATAAACAACCTTGTTGGCTTTTATTTGCACCTTCGGTTCTTTGTGACATTTTGGCGCAGTCTTTTCCAGCCTCGTGTGTGAGGCCTTTTCATTGTAAGCACCCAGCCTGTGCTGTTACCTTGACAACGGGACATAAACAAACAAGGAGCCAGTTGAAATCTTTTGTTGGCTTATCAACCATGACAAAGAACCGGTAAGCTCTTTTTGTGACATTTCTCTTTTAAGAGAAATTCTGCTTTTGTGCACATTTTGATTTGTATGAATAATGTAACGGGCTGATTGTGGACCTCACCTCTCACTATGGTAAGGCTTTTTAAATATCATGCAAGTAACTCATGAAAAATTCTGACACTTGTTTTTTCTGTTCCAAAGGCAACCAAGGCTACAAAATCAAGATCCCACAACTCCGGACTCGCCAAAAAGACTGAGCTTCCAAAAGCAGGCACGAAGAGTTCCACCCGGGACAAATCCACCCAAAAAAACGCAAACTTTCTCAGTGCGGCAGCTATGGAGAATGTGTACTACGTCGCTCACAATGCGGCCGCCTGCTTGGAGTTGAGGGGGTATGGCTGGTCCAAGGACAAGAGAAAAAAGACCAAGAAACGGAAACAATTCAAGTAATTCCCGTGAATAGGATTGATTTGAATCCATGTATTACTGCATTTATTGATGTGTATAGTGTATATACATTGTTTAATGCACATTAAGACAAGCAACTTTAAAGGAATGACCGCAACTTTATTGGAAGATGAATGTGTTCAAATTGTTTCTTAATGACATGTCATCATAAGATATGTGCCAAACGGGTAGCACAGCGGATTTACAAAACCAAAAGTATACATTTTAAATCCAGCCATCTAGTTGAAATATACGTAATGTAACATTTCTGGCTGTAACAAATGTTTCAGCCACTGTCATTATTCCCCGTCCATACATTTGAATTATATCAAATGCTAGCTTGTTGCACAACCCTGTGAAATAAATAGGTGTTCTGCAGAGTGCATATTCTTGGTGGAAGCATCCTCCACGTTAGTCACTCAGGTGGCTTCTTCTTGGCCTCCACGTCTTTCTTGAACGCTTCGATTTTTTTTGCAATATTGGGTACCTTGAAGAGAAAACCCAGTGAAACGCAGACAAAAATAAAACAACGCACTTCACACAGTATCTCCTAACTAATGGTGGCCTTGGTGAAGGCAATAGTGTCAACTTACATCGTAGTTCTGAGCGAGGTACATCCCCACAACATTGCCCAAGGTGAATCCAGCCTGAAAGATAATCACACACACATCAATTTTAAAGGCGTCCAGTAGCATTCGGGCTCATATTCATGTTAGGTTTTTGTGCTGACCAAGTAACACCGCTCAGCTTCCTAACAATTATGCTATATTAGCCATACTTTAAACTCCCGTAAATTGTCGATGAAGAACAAAAGTAGGTTGGACTCACCAAGAACTGTAACATAGCGCAATGTTAAAGTCTTAAAGATGGCAAACTTATTTACTTGAAGAAAAAAAAACGTTAAGAGCTTTGAGGCTACACACACAAACTAATGTACGTGTGTCAAAGCTAGGTTGTCAAAACAATGCGTTTACGCATGCGCGACAGATGGAGTCAATCGTATGTTCTCGCGTTGTTCCATGAGAGTCAATTTTGTAGTCCTTTTCTCAGTATGTGCCACAATCGAGTGTCGTGAGAAAACTACAACTCCCGGAGCCGCGAAATGTCAAGCGCAGCTGCTGCTGTCGCAATGGTGGCGACGCCGAGACATTGAATGACTTTGGCTCCATCACAAACAAATAGCCGGCGAATTCGTTTTACTGTCGCGACGCCAAAGACATGGAGGCGCTTATTCCCGTCATTAACAAGCTCCAGGATGTGTTCAACACCGTGGGCGCGGATATTATCCAACTGCCTCAAATAGCTGTGGTGGGCACCCAGGTACAGTCAAAAGCTACGATAACTGTCAGCCTCCTGGTGAGGACAATTTAGCTAGTCACTGATTCTGATTCTGAATTTAAGTGGACTATATTTGACGTTAATGACATGTACGTAGATATTTAAGAAGAGTGCTTTCAACTCATCCACCCCACTCCACTGATAACCTTCATTCAGTGCTAATTTAAGAACCGTGCCAACACCCTGTTGGGCCAAAATAGGCCACGAGACAAGTGCCTTTAGCTGTGTTTTCACCTTCATTCAAATCCATTATCATCATCATCATCAGCCTGTGAAAATGGTAATTACTACTTTCCGATTAGACATGCCAGAAGGTTTTTGACACCGCAATGAAAACTCTTATTTTCAAAACTGCATATACAGTGAACCCTCTGTGCCACGGAAGTATGTTGAAGTGAATTGAGGAGATTCATTGAGACAAAAGTAAACCATGAAAATCTGCGCTTGTTCCGTCTCCAGAGCAGCGGCAAGAGTTCCGTTCTGGAGAGCCTGGTGGGCCGTGACCTGCTACCCCGCGGGACCGGCATCGTCACCAGGCGGCCTCTCATCCTCCAGTTGGTCCACGTCGATCCGGGAGATGCCCGCAAAAATGACGACGTCGGTAGGCGTTGACTTTTCGCTCCCCTTCCTCCACTTCCGGAGGAGCCCTTTTGGGTTTTTGAATCCCTTCCCCTTCTTTCTTAGAGTTCTCACTGTTTTCCACCACAGATTGAAGTTTTCTGTTTTCTGCCGCTGTTTAATCACTTGCAGATTCCAAGGTGTGAAAAAGATCCATAAAGGTGCATTGTAGCAATGTGAATCGCATATTAACTAACTTCCCTCTCCCGTCATACATTGCTTTGATCCCTGGCTTTAGTGGAGCTCCTTCGCCACCTTGCCTTTCATGGCCTAGCATCCTGCATATCATAGTTACCAGTCTTGTCTTAAATAAACTAAGTAGTCATGCCCTAAAATTTGCTTTTGTGTTGTACAGGCAGAGAAGGCGAGGAGTGGGGGAAGTTTCTGCACACCAAAAATAAGGTAACAGGTGGCATGGTTTAAAGCATTAGTGGTAATCAGTGCTTTTTCGTTTTTTGGAGCAGATCTACACTGATTTTGATGAAATCAGGCAAGAAATAGAAGCAGAAACGGAGCGTGTGTCGGGGAATAATAAGGTGAGATTGTTTACGGCGTCACTGTCGCTTACCCATCCTGACATTGATAAAAATGGATGGGTTTAACCGGCGCAATTTTTACGCCACCTCCACAAATGCAATATTAATCGAAACAAAAACTCATTTTGACGAGTGTGGGAATGTGGAATATATTCTCGCAAAGGAATGTTGTGTACCCACTGAATTGGCAAGGTGTACATTTCCCTCCTGCGCAGGGCATCAGCGATGAGCCGATTCACCTGAAGATATATTCCCCCCACGTTGTCAACCTCACCCTGGTGGACCTGCCCGGCATCACCAAGGTAACACGGCACGCCTCAACCTAGCGGACGTGCACCTTAACGTGAAAAACTGCCATTTTCCCCTGAGGTGCCCGTGGGAGATCAGCCCAAAGACATCGAGATCCAAATACGAGATCTCATCCTGAAGCACATCTCCAACCCTAACTGCATCATATTAGCCGTCACCGCCGCCAACACCGACATGGCGACGTCAGAGGCGCTCAAGGTGGCCCGGGAGGTGGACCCTGACGGTAATGTCCAAAAGCAACTCCGTGAGATGATTGATGAACAATGATTTTTCAAAGTGTGATATGCGAAAGAGCCCATACAAACAAAATCCCTGAATGTGACCCTCCAGGCAGGAGGACGTTGGCCGTGGTGACCAAATTGGACCTGATGGACGCCGGAACCGATGCCATGGACGTGCTGATGGGTCGAGTTATTCCTGTCAAACTGGGACTCATCGGTGTGGTCAACAGGTTGGCTACACGTTCAACACGAATTTGGAGAGTGCTCTGATATATTCGTCAAGGTCAATTGTTTATTTATGGCCCATCACTGTATGCAAAGCCCGGATATTCTATTCATCTTAAAGTATGAATAACGACAATCACCAAAGCATCATGGATGTACTTTATATGTGGACTATAATTCTGTTAATTATCTGACGTGTACAGGAGCCAGCTGGACATCAACAATAAAAAGTCTGTGGCTGACGCAATCCGTGATGAACACGCTTTCCTGCAGAAGAAGTATCCCTCTCTTGCTAATAGGAACGGGACCAAATACCTGGCCAGGACCCTTAATAGGTCAGTGTAGTCCAGATTATTCACAGGACATGAATTAAGTTTTTTTTTAATTTTATTGTTGCATTTTCAAGGTGAAAATAAAAAGTTGGTTGAAAGTGCTTGTAAATACAATCCAACGGTGAAGTAGTAGCTCACTCTTTTGATCGGGCGAATTAAAATGTTTTGATTTTTTTACATTTTTGTTTTCAGTTATTTCATTTTTGGTAACTAACCATCGTGGCCGCGGTTCTGCCTCAAGCTTTCCCTGTGCTCATGTCAGACTACTGATGCATCACATCCGCGACTGTCTGCCGGAACTGAAGACGCGGATCAACGTGCTGGCCGCCCAGTACCAGTCGCTGCTCGGCAGCTACGGCGAGCCCGTGGAGGACCAAAGTGCCACCTTGCTCCAGCTCATCACCAAGTTTGCCACCGAGTACTGCAACACCATTGAGGGCACGGCCAAGTACATCGAGACGGCGGAGCTGTGAGTGTCAGTGGAGTGTGGGGATCCCTTGGGAGGCCTCAGCACCATCGATATCCTAACAGCCATAAGAAACGCAACCGTGAGTTTTGTCTTGTTGTCGTCTTTTTTTTTCCCCCTCTGTGTGCTCCCAATGGCTGACCTTTTTCATCCCCATGCCGCATCAGGGCCCGCGCCCCTCTCTGTTCGTGCCCGAGGTCTCCTTCGAGCTGCTGGTAAAGAAGCAGGTCAAACGCCTGGAGGAGCCCAGCTTGCGCTGTGTGGAGCTGGTCCACGAAGAGATGCAGAGGATCATCCAGCACTGCAGCAATTACAGCACGCAGGTAGAGGGGTCGGTGGGGCGTGTCAGCTCCTTTTTCTCTCCTTCAGAGGCTTGTGCTAATACCAAGTTGTCCACCAGGAGCTGCAGAGATTTCCAAAACTCCACGAGGCCATCGTGGAAGTCGTCACTTCCCTCTTGAGAAAGAGGCTGCCCATCACTAACGAGATGGTACATTCTTTCTTTGTTTCCTCACATCTTCCTGAATAACTCTTTTGTGTCTTGTCAGTAGCCTTGCCGAGACGATTGTTGAGGCAGTTTGTTTTGAATGCAAAATTAAAGCAAGAGCCGCTGCCTCGCTTCTCATCTTCCAACAGGTCCACAACTTGGTTGCCATCGAGCTGGCTTACATCAACACAAAGCATCCGGACTTTGCAGACGCCTGCGGGGTCATGAACAACAATATCGAGGTGAGTGCTCAGCCGCAAATACACGTTTGTGCAGGAACACAGCTTGCTCGCGACGAGTCATCGTTCCAACACCACTCACTGATTGTGTGTATCTATAGGAGCAAAGGAGAAACCGGATGAGAGAACTGCCCACTGCGGTATCGCGGGATAAGGTACGTTTCCTCTTTAATATTCATGAAAGAAAAGGTTTGAGATGCTATTTTAGGGAGATTTAAATATATTGTTTTGTTTTGAACCTCAAAAAGAAGGAAGAGCTTCCATAAAGGAACCAAATGACTTTGGACTGCACCCCCGCCTCTTCTATCTTTGACCTCCGCTTCTCTGTCTGTCTCTTTCTCTCTCTCTTTCATTCTCTTGCCCTCATTTGATCTCTTTGCCAGTCTCTTGGCAAAGGCCCGGCCACGGTTTCTGGCGAGCCCCCCGCGTCCGGAGCAGACGCGGACGGCGCCAAGGTGGGCAGCTGCTGGCCTGGTCGGCTGTGTTGATGGATGGATGGATGGCTTGGCTTGTACCCTAGTCTTGATTTCCCCATGTCGTGCTATTTTCATGCCCCAGCCTGTGTGGACTTGCGCTAACAATCTTGCTTTTCCTCCTTTCTTGACCTATCCTCCTTGTTTCCCCAAACTCTTGGTTTTGTTTTGCATTTCAAGCCTCTGCGAGGTGTAAAACTTCACAGGAGTGACAATGGATCCTACAGTAGGCTTAAATGCAGTGTGGCATTCACGCTGGTGGTACTTTTGACCGCAGGCTCAAGCAGCGGGGCCGCAGGGCGAGCCGGACGGCACGGGCACCTGGAGGGGGATGCTCAAGAAAGGAGAGGACGGCTCAGGCTCGGGTCCGGGAAGCCCTCTTAAAGGAGCCGTCAACCTGCTGGATGTGGTGACTTGTCCTCTTTGTCCTCCTCTCCTGAGTATCGTTTCTTGAATAACCTCTGCCTTTGAACCCGTAGCCGGTCCCGGTAGCCAGGAAGCTGTCATCCCGTGAGCAGCGGGACTGCGAGGTCATCGAGCGCCTCATCAAGTCCTACTTCCTGATTGTGCGCAAGAACATCCAAGACAGGTAAGTGCCTGGAGACCCACTTTGTTACCCGACCGTATTTTCTCGAAATACATCATACATGATTTCCAATGACCGGGTCTGACCAGCGTGCCCAAGGCGGTTATGCACTTCCTGGTCAACCATGTGAAGGACAGCCTCCAGAGCGAGCTGGTGGGTCAGCTCTACAAGTCAGGCCTCCTCAACGATCTGCTGACAGAGTCGGAGGACATGGCCCAGCGCCGCAAGGAGGCGGCCGACATGCTGCAGGTAAAACTCGCTCAAGTCTTCATAGGCTGGACTAGCCATAGAATATTCCTTAACCGTCCTCCTGCTGTTTTTTTTTTTTTTTTTGGTGGGGTTTATGGGGGAAACACAGGCATTGCAGAAAGCCAGCCAGGTGATAGCGGAGATCAGAGAAACTCATCTGTGGTGAACTGAATGATACCAGAAGAATGCACTGAACCCTCCCTCAAAGTAGACGCCGTGACGGGCTCAAGTACCTTCGAAACACGTACGCTTGTAAATACAGGACATTGTTGTGAGCACGAAAGGCCTGTCATGACCCAATGTGATGACTTTGTAACATTTTATTTATTGTGGCTGGACAGAGTTGTCAAAATGTGATGTGTATTTGCGTTTGCCGGTGCCATGTACCACACGGCAACACGAAAAGACAAAGTGCTGCCTCCAACAGTGGAAATCCGTGTCGCTTTCTTTGAGTTCGTTTACAGTCTGGACAAAGAGGAGGTCGCCGCAAATCACCAATAACACCACAAAAAGTATCTGGTCTCCATTTCGGCTTGATTTGGTGAGTTTTTGACCACCTAACGATGCACTGCAACAAGTATATTCTCGGGGTTACACTGCCCACTTGTGGTCATTTATAATCACTGCCACCAACAGCAGTTGAGAAAACGTAAACACTAAAGTCCCATCTTTATTTGTAACACCTTTATTTACTTTAAAACAAGACAAGTACGGACAAATTGAGCACAGCAGAGAGAAACGGCATAGACTCCTTGGTCCACAGGTAGAAAACACTGCTCCCCCAACCCGGCTGCCGTTTAAGTTCTGGAAGTGCATTTCCTTGTTTTTAAAATGTGCAGCGTCAAATATTCCTCCCTCGAAGGTCTTCCCGGTCAGTGCCCCGTTCCACATCAGAGCTCCACATGTGGACTCTCATCTGTCTTGGATACCGCTGGCTCCTCTTTTTGTTCCCATGACACAATTGCAAAGATTTAGACTGAAGAAACTTGTACAAGCATCATGAAAGAGCGACACTAACCTTCTTGTGGCTTTTGAACACACTCTCCATCGTGGTCCTCGTAGCCGGCGGAGCAGACGCACTTGTAGTCGCCGCTGGTATTGACGCACTGCTGGTGCTCCTCGGTGCACATCGGCTCGGCCCCCGAACACTCGTCAATATCTTAGGGGGGGGGAGAAAAAAAAAAAAAACAACCAGCCAGGTCAACTTATTCCCTTCTCCTGAAAATCAAAAATGGGCAGTATTATCTTTCGAAATGCTCTTTTATTACCTAATAATGTACAGTCAGTGCAATTAAATTAAAAATTAAATGCGACTTGCCACCCATTTCTTTCGACATGGCCGATTGGGATCCATTAATTAAACCGCACAAACCTGAGCAGGTGCCCTCAGTGTCCTGGTAGCCGCCGGCGCACGCCTTGCACTTGTCTGCACCGGCGCCAGTGCATCCCGTGCAAGCTTGATCACATCCTGAAGGAACAGGAGAGCTCATTTCCAGTTCAGTTTGACTGAGCCGGAATGTGCGCGTTTACCCTTGCAGGAGTAAGAGCCTTCCGTGTTGACGCAGTATTCCTTTTCTTGGCATGGAGGTGAGTCTTTGGAGCACTCGTTCACATCTGGAATCACATCCCAAGTTGAAAGAAATGATTTTGGATGTGTAATGATGCTCTTTTTATACCGATGCAGGCTTCCTGCTCATCCTCCTCCCAACCATCCTTGCACTCGTCGCAGTCCTGGTGGGTTGCCCCATCGCTGCAGGTCTTGCAGGAGGAATGGCATTCTAATGCAGGGGGAGAGATGCTGATTATTCAGCAGGTGATTTGAAGATGGGGAATAAACAGAGGTAGGTGATATCGTACCCGTGCACAGGGAGAAGGAGTCGTTGCGCACTTCGTTGAAGTAGCCGTCGATGCAGTCCAGGCAGAAGTCCCCCTTGTACTCCACGTCACATGTGCACTTGCCGTCCCCTCCGCGGGTTCCGTCGCCGTCGCACTTGCCGTTCCCATGACATGGTCTCTCGGAGCCGCCGACACAAGCTTGGACACAAGTGCATGATTCATAGCAAGATATATGGAAGATTTCTGGCCAATGTTCAGATCAGTGGTAGTTTACTCACCATTGCAGTCAGGCCCAAATGTGCCTTTTGGACAGCACACTTCGATGGTGTCAATGCAGAACCATTTATGCAAATCAGGATGTTTGGTTTTTCTGCATTGCAACCACAGAGAGAGAGGAAAAAGAAAACATATTAAGCAGATGTTTCGAGCAACATTTTGAGTCCACTTGCACGAACCTTTTAAACCACCATGTCTCCACCTGCATTGCAACCACAGAGAGAGAGGAAAAAAAGACATTAAGTAGATGTTTCGAGCAACATTTTGAGACCACTTGCACGAACCTTTTAAACCACCATGTCTCCAACAGCTCCTCGTGTTCTTCGAGCATCTGGTTGCACTCGAAGCTGCTGCTGTCACACAGCCCCTCGACGATCTCCATCAGTCGGATCTCGCTGTAAAATGCAAAAATCAAGACGTGAATTTGTCACAGGGCAAAAACAGCTGTGTGGTATTTTGAATAATATTTAAGAATCCCTTTCGCTATGGCTACAGTTATATTTTGCGTAAGGGCAACGATCATTTACAAAACTCTGTGTGTGTGTGTGTGTGTGTGTGTGATATATTTTGCGTAAGGGCAAGCATCATTTACAAAACTGTGTGTGTGTCTTGAGCAAAGATTATTTAATTTTTTCTTTGGGGACAGGAAACTTCCTCAAATTCCGGAATAACGCATATGTAATATGTATGTTCCCTAGTGTGGTTTGATGCAATCTTATTTTTAACAGTGGCAGGCTGACCTGAAGTTTTGTCTCACCTTGTCTCATATTTAGACAGCTTCCTTTCCTCCCAGGCTGTGTTCCCCCCACCAAAATTTTGCTTTGCAGTTCTCTCATAGCCCTAAAAGTAAAAATACACTCAAAGATAAAATAATTTTTAAAACTACAGATTGTGCAATCTACATTTAGACGTATTCATTCACTAGACTGTAGGTACCCCAATGCCCTGTGCATTGGGGTACCTACATGCTCGCTTACCTTTTGGAAGTTGTCAGTAATCCGCTGGCAGGTACCACAAGCGCTTTTTAAATCTCTCTTGGCATTCGTGACTTGAAAAATGAAAATAAAACAGGACAAAAGCCCGAGAAGTCGCAGCTCTGGACTCGAGGGCAGCATTTCACTGTTTCATGAGGACACACTGTAAATTCCACCCCACAACGAAGTTGCTACTGATGGTACTTTCGGAGTGCCGCACACGCCGAACTAATTGTACCGTTTTATAGAATAAATAGGAGAGAGCGTTTAAATACAACGCGCGTTAAAGTAGTATTTACATGCCGGCTGAGGAAAAGATGCACGACTTCCAGTTTTCTGCTTCAGCCCCATCGGTCGAATTGTGGCTTGTGGCGATTGGCTCTTTGTGCCTGCCAATCCATCTGAAAGCCAATCACCTGCCGCCACGCTCGGGACAACTAGCGCATTCCGCACGTGGAAAATTCACGAACGCGAATTTTTAATGTAGAAATGATCATTTTGCTCAAATAAATACTTGAAATTCAAAATAAAAATATTATTTTATCATAACTAAAACGATTAATGTTTCAAAGATACATAAATGAGTTGTAAAGTCACGTCCGGTTTAAACCGGAAGTAGTGACATCCTGAATCTGTCATGGCTGTAAAAATGAATGTTTTGGCGCTCCCAATATTAGTTTTACTAACGTCCGTGGTGCTGTTACACTTATTCATCTGTCCGTTCACCAAAGTGGAAGAAAGCTTCAACTTGCAAGCGGCCCACGACCTCCTGTATCACACGTTTGACTTTGACAAGGTAGGGAGCAGCAGGTGTGCCAGAGGCTAACAGGCTAGGCTACAAGTGACCACAGAAGTCACGAAATGTACTTGTGTTCAATCATGATGATGACACGACATGTGATTAGAGGACGTAGTTTCTGTCGCAGTGTTCTCCTTGAATGACATAGCCGTTGAATTAATTTACCATTTTGAAGAGATTTTATGGAAAATGTATAATTTTGGGAGTGTAAAAAAAAAAAACACGAAGTGAAAAAATTGACTTTGGAATGAGAAATGTGGATGTTTCTAGACCTAATGTTGCCTATTATTGCTGGTGATTTCTTTCAGTACGACCACCATGAGTTCCCCGGTGTGGTTCCACGAACGTTCATCGGTCCCCTGCTCATCAGCATCCTTTGCTCCCCTGTTGTCTTTCTGTCCTCTCTGCTGGGCGTGCCCAAATTCTCCACACAGCTCATCGGTAGATGACTCACACCTCACCAAACTGTCAGAATTCCACCTTAGGATGCTGTTTTTTGCTTATGTTCAGTCCGAGCCTCTCTGGGAGCATGCGTGATCGCTGCGCTGTGGCATATGCAGCGAGAGGTGAAGAGGCAGTTTGGCTCCACGGTGGCCCTCCTGTTCTGCCTGATGTGCGCCTCTCAGTTTCACCTCATGTTCTACAGCACCAGGACGCTCCCAAATGTGTTTGCGCTACCAATTGGTAAGAAGCACCACTGCGAACAATATCAGTGGTGAGTGCATTGACCTCACTTGTCACTTTGTCTGTGCAGTCGTGGTTGCATTCACCTCTTGGATGGCTCACAAACACGGCAGCTTCATCGGCCTCTCCGCCTTCGCCATTATTGTGTTCCGCTCGGAGCTCTGCATCTTGCTGGGTCTTATGTTGCTTATATCTCTGTTGAGCAGAAAGCTGCGCTTCCCGGAACTTCTTTACTACGCTGTTCCCGCTGGATTGCTCTCATTGGGTAAGTGGGAGTCAAGCAGTGTGCATTTAGATTGCCATGGTAAGAGTTTGATTTTGTATCTTTTGCAGCTCTGACTGTGGCGATTGACACGTTCTTTTGGAGGAAGCCTTTGTGGCCAGAAGGCCAGGTGTTTTGGTATAACACCATTCTCAACAAAAGTTCCAACTGGGGAATATCCTTTCAGACGCCGAGATATTTTGATGAAATACTGATGCTGAATCCGTTTCTCCAAAGTATTGACCCCCCCCCCCCCAAAAAAATGGATGAATCTCCTTGACTCCTCTTTTAAACCTCACCCTTTCTCTGGTATTTCTACTCGGCTTTGCCCCGCGGCCTGGGCTGCACTCTGCCGCTGGTCCCCGTCGGGCTGCTGGACCGGCGGATGAGGATCCTACTGCTACCACCAGTGGCCTTCATCCTTGTCTACTCGCTGCTGCCGCACAAAGAGCTGCGCTTCATCATCTACACCTTCCCCGTGCTCACTCTCCTGGCCGCCCGAGGCTGCTCTTTTATGTCCGTATACAAACGGCATGCAATCTTTACCGGGAAGAAAAAACACATTATAATGCTTTTTGTGTTTTTTTTTTTTTTTTTCAGTTTAAGCAACTATCACAAATCGTGGATGTATAAACTGGGATCGGCTGTTGTGGTGGGCCAGCTGGTGACGAACGCGGCGTACTCGGGAGTTTGCCTGTACGTTTCCCATCACAATTACCCAGGAGGCCGAGCGATGCAGGAACTGCACAGGCTGTTGCCGCCCACGGCAGGTAGGAATGACCTTTTAGACCAGAGCTTGACAGTATTTTTTTATGGATATGATATAAAATGCATGCTATCTTCTCAGACGTCTTTGTTCACATTGACACCTACGCTGCTGAAACAGGAGTGTCTCGCTTCTTAGAGCAAAATCCACACTGGAGGTTGGTCGATTGTTCATATTCTAAAAGCCCCGGCATTGATGTTATATTTAATATACATATATTGACTCAACAGATACGACAAACGAGAGGATCTGGACCCCGCAAGTCCCGAAATGGAAATGTTCTCGCACCTCCTGATGGAGGCAAACGCCACCAAGATGGAGCTCCTGCGCGACACTCATCGGCCCCTGGCCTTCGTACAAGGCTATGACGGCATCGCTCGCCACTTGTTTCGCTTGCCTCCGTTTAGCGTGAGGTTGGCAAGCAAAACTGTACTGATGCAGAGGACCACGTTCAAGGAGTCTCATTGAGGAGTCAGGTGACCAGCATTCTCACTTCATCTCCTTCAGGAGTTTACATGAAAGAAAGAAGCACAAGTATGTTGTGCGATTCCTAAACTTTAGGTGTCGTTCATTGCGGGCGAGGGGTTGGGCGTGTGTGGTTGTCTGCTAAAAAAATATATATATATATTCATAAAGACCAAATTATTGTAATTCATTCTCTTCTTGGCTTTCGGATATTCATATTTTCTACAGAAAAAAAAGCCTAAATTGAATCGACTTGCAGACTAAAAGCCGTTTCGAAATGAAAATCAAACGCAGGCGTTTACCGTAAGGAAAACCTTTATTTACAAACGGCCACAACATTTGCGTAGTTCCAGTTTCAATGCTCAACATTTATCAAATCAAGTTCAGATTTTCTTATAAAATGTACAGTACATTTCTTGACTCAAACCCATAAATTAATCCCCTGAACAGAAACTGAAATTGTGCTTACGAGACAAATTGTATATTCCAAACCTCTCAATTCTGAAAATACAACAATATCTTAAAAAAGCTTTTTAAAGCTCTTAAAGCAAAAAAAAAAAGTAAAACTCCGAACAACAGTACCATGAGCCACAATTTCACAATGAAAATTAAATAACATTAACTTAAAACATCTTTCAGTCACAGCATTTATTTTTGGGCCACGTTTTCAAGAAAACTCTGCATCAGTAATCGGGACTATTCAAAAGCAAACCCGACGCGGATCGCGCCGATTCACCAAAAATATGTACAGCATTTTTGACCTGAAGTAGATTTTGGATAAGGCACAAGGAGAGAGCCGAGAACAAAAAAAAACACACACTTATTAATGAGCAAACGCACAAACCCCTACAACTAGAAAACCCCTCCCTCCCTGATGCACCTCTCTCTCTCTCTCTCACTGAGACTTTTCATGAAAGCTTCTTCAAAGTATTCAAACAGTAGTCGACACAAAACAATTAACGCCCCAAACCTGGCTGCAGCATTGAAAGAAAATCAGTGTATACATGATCCTATACATCACACAATTCACAGCTATGTCTCTTGGTCCTTAAGTTGTTTTTTTTTTTTTCCCCCCTCCTGAATGCTTCATCAGTATTGAAAATAAATGAGTGGGAGGTTAACCTTGAGGAAGAGCAGACCCTCCATGTTTTCCAGTGAAGGCCTGGGATGGTTCAGGGCGCAGTTGACGCCCGCCGTGCTGAACAGCGCCTCGGCCGGGACGATGCTGGGAGGGCAGCCCACGTAACGGGCGGCTACTTTGGCAAGCTCGGGCCACAGGAACTTTTTCAGGTTCCAGTAGTCGAGCGGGTCACAGCTTTGATCGAGTATGTCCTCCTCCAGGTACTCAAGCACCGCCAGTTCGGAGGACTTTGGTTTTTCCTCGTGCTTCGCGTTTTGTCTCAAGTCCGCCATCAGGGACCAGATGTTGTCCTTGTCTGACGCCGGGGCCTCGTCGCAGCCGTTGAGCAGTAAAGACTTTTCTGTTGAGGTAGACGAGAACAGGTCCAGCTCCTGGATCAGGTCTTGCTTACATCGTTCCGCCTCTTCTTCTGTGAATAGTGAGGTCTTGTATCGAGGGTCCAGCATGGTGGCCCAGGTGAAGCGCGGGTCGTTGAGAGTGGCCGACATCCTGCTCACCGTGGCTTCTTTCAGAGAGCGCAGCATGTTGTCGATGCCCACGGTCTCGTCGAACAGCAGGTCGATCTTTCTGTTCAGGATGTGAATGAGCGGAATGACTTGGCCCAGGGTGGCGGTACGGCTGCGGATTTCCCGGTAGGCCACCTCGAAAGGTTTCAGCGCGTTGCAGACGGACTGCATCACCTCCCACTGGTCGCAGCTGATGATTTCCCTGAAGTTGCACTCGATTGACATCTCGTCGATGGCTTTCTTTTGCTCCACCAGCCGCTCCAGCATGAGGAAGGAAGTCCTCCATTTGGAGGGGATGTCCTGGATGAGTTGGTTCTCCGGTAACTGGTGGTCCCTCTGCAGCTCGACCAGCTTCTCCTTGGCCTTGGCCGAGCGCTGCACACGTTCGCAGATCTTCCGCGCGATGCTCAGAAGGTTCTGCACCATCCTCTGGCTCTTTATGGCTTCGCTAACAATGAGGTCAATGGTGTGGCCAAAACACTGCACGGTGACGTGGCCGTGGTCCTCCAGACTGCTTCTTATGTTGGCGTTATCGGTGACGGTGAACCCTCTCTTCAGACCCGGCGACGTGATCCAAGAATCCCACAGATACTCCAGCTGCTTGGGGATGTCGTGCGTGTCCTGATCGCAGTCTATCTGAGACACGCTGAGCAGAGCCGAACAGTGAAAGTCCTGGCCCTGGGGTCTGACGCTCGATTCGTACGTGGCCCAGTGTGCAGTCAGGGTCAGGTACTCTTTTGTCTGGCTACTGACCCAAATGCTCGTCGTGAAGTGGACGACGCCGCCCTCGGCCTCTTTCAGATGCGTCAGCACGACGTCCCGCACCTTTTCGTACATCTCCGGTATTGCCGTGCCGGTAAAGTAAGAAGAGGGCGGCAGGCAATACTGGGGCTGGAAGTACTCGAGAAGTCTGCTCAGTCCGGCGTTCTCCACCATGGCTGATGGCTGAAGATCCAGTGCAAGCATTTCGGCAATAAGTTTGGTAATTTTTTTGGCAACCGGGTGGTGTTCGTCAAACCTGTTCTGTTCCGCTTTGTAAAGCGACAAATCGGCGCGCTCTCGTTTGACGTGATTTCCGGCCGACGGCGCGTCACCTGAGATAGTGTTGTTGCTTTCGAGAAAATGTCCGTGAAACCTCTGCATGTGCCTGAAGAGGCAGCTCGTGCCGAGGTTGGTCGTCTTTTTGCCTCTGCTGATGGTGCGGCCGCAGTGCAAACAGACCACCTTGGTGGGGTCGGCGGGTGAAATTGAAAAATGGTTCCACAGTTTGGACGTCTTCTTACTGAAAATGGTTTGTGGCTTTTTCTTGCAGGCCGGGCTTTCGGTTCCTTTGGCTACTGAAACTGCGTCTGGTGCGGTCTTAAGGTAAGGCTGCGGGGAGGGCTCCTTGTCATCGGCGACTTTTTGGTTTTGGAGGACATCTGGGTGGCGCCTCACCAGGTGCCTCATTAGACAGCTCGTACCAAAGTCGCCCCGTTTGCCTCGACTGATGACGCACGGACAGTACCGGCACAGTGCTTTTAACTGGTCGACCGGTGACACAATGAAATGCTGCCAGACTTCGGACTTGACCCGTTTCATGATTTTCTTGTTTTGCTCAAAAACGACATGATTCTGACTGTGGCCGGGAACGTCGGACAGATCGCACGGCGAGGAGGTTGAGGGCGTGTCGTCCCCGTGAGCGCCGAAGGGCAGATTGAGCGCGGACTCCTGCTCGGTCAGTAGCATCGCCTCATCAGACTCCTCCTTCATGTCCAAGCTTTCCGCCATGGTCGGCGGTAACTCGTCTAATATCGTTTCTGGTGAAGACGGAAGAAGGGGCGATTCCTTTTTTATGTCCAGCGAGTCATGTAACAGTGTGCGGGACAACAGGGACGGCGGGTTTGAGTAGGGCGGAGGAATGTGATTGCCCAGTCCGTTTTCCTCAATCACAACCTCTTTGTGGGCCCTCCACATGTGACGAATAAGACAGCTCGTGCCGAGATCTTTCCCATTCTTGCCGCGGCTGAATTCATTCATGCAGTGGATGCAAACCGCTTTGGAATTGTCCACGGGCGAAAGGTAGAAGTGTTTCCATACGGCCGATCTCCGACGAGAACTGGAGCTTTTCGGGTTGCTCGGAAGGCGCTCTTGCCCTCCATCGGATATGTCTTCGAGGTTGTTTTCACTGGAATGTGACGATTCAAGAGCACTGTAGATAGAGTCCGCGTTGGCGAGCGGTTCAAGTTTTGGTTCAACTTTGGGCAACCCTTCTTTGGATGACAGGTCTGAATTATCAGCCGAAGATGTGGACGGCGACGTATTCTTTGACCCGGGATACATCAAACTGTTTAAGTCTCCGTTTTTTGGCGAGTTTGGGGAAGGCGGGATGGAGGAGGAGGAGGAGGCTAAAGCACTCTGATTGGGCGTCGGTGCGTCCGCTCCCTCTTGGAAAAGCATCGTCGGGTGAGCCCTTCGGACGTGGCGCATCAAACAGCTTGTGCTGAGGTCTTTTTCGTTCTTGCCCCGACTAAACTCTTTCATGCAGTACAAACAGATTGCTTTGGTATTGTCCCTTGGCGATATGCAGAAATGATTCCATGCCGGAGATTTTTTCCTCGGGTTGCTTTGACTTCTCATGGAGGCCAAAAGGCTCTGGGTGACGGCATCCATGGCAACGTCGTAAAGAGTGCTCGTGTAGCCGCTTAATAAGTTACTATAGTCGTCCCCATCTCGACTCAAAAAAGGGCCAAATGCGAGTCTTTCAAAATCGTGGGCTTCATCCTCTAAATCGTTTGTGTCTCGGCTTTCATCTTTGATATGCTGAGTGGGCTCATTGTCGTATTTTTCATTCTCCCTATTTTCGTGCGTGTGGATGTTGAGCCATTTGCTCGAAAGAGACGGAGACGCCGGATCCGTTTCTTTGTCGGTGTCAGACTCTAACTGTTTATCACCCTGAGAAGAAAGATGGCTTGATTGGAAAAGGTCTTTATCCAGTGTTTTGGACGAGCACGACGACGGCGCATCCTTTGTCTTGTGTGGCTTCATGCTGTAGGATTTAAAGACGTATCCATCCTGACCCTCGATTTTCAGACAGGACCCCTTTGCCTCTCGTTTCTTTTGCAGGGAGCCGTTGAACGAATCGTCACCCGCGCCGGACGCATCTTCCTCCCTGTCCATGGCGGCGGGCGGCCCAAAGCTTTCTGTCGTGTCGTCAGGTCTGCCTTGTCAGATGGGATTGCTTCTAGTCATTGGCCGGACGGTTCTCAAGCAGGTGTCGTTTTGTTTGTGCGGCTGCTCGGGTCACAGGATGCCAGCTTGTCCCTCTCCATTTATGACCCAAATAGTTCCACCTCGCCGCACGCAACCTAGACGGAGGGGAAACAAGGTCAGAGTCCATTCTCTTCCTAGCTATGACAACAAAAAGTCTGCCTTCATGTCCAATTGCATAATATTAACCCAAGTGTCCTCTGTTTACACTTGCGTCAACTGAGAATTAGCTTGGGAATCAAACAATCACCGATTCGACACGGAAATTTGGAATAGCTGTTGGCGAGCTGCTCGTTCACTTCCTGTGCTCTTGCGCAACCCTTAACTGCTGACGGGCATGACACATGCATGATGTGGAGTGCTTTCACGTCTGCCCCAAACCTTTTTAAAATCAAAGAGCTACTTCTCAGTATGATCGACACATGTGGAATTTTAAATTTGCTAAAATTGCTTTTCATTATTGTGATGAGTGGTCGCCTTCTTTGTGGAATTTTCTAAAAACGCACGGAATAAGCACTTCAAATGCCTCCAAAAAATAAATACGTGGAAAAAATAAAATAAAAACAATTGACTGCTGAAGTACATGACCTATTGCACTGCCCACACGGCTCTTCCCACCAATAATCTTCCAATTGCTTGCAAGTTAAGATGAATTTTTAGGTCAAGTGTCGGCATTTGAAACGTATTGGTGGATATATATTTTTTTTAATCTGCACCTTGTCAGCCAATCGCAGAAGGGGGGGTTCCCCGAGCAGAAGACTAAACGAAAGCACCGAGGAGCGAGTTGAGAAATAATGGAGTTATACCGGTTACTCAAATTTTTTTGTTCAGTTTTTTTTTTATAGTCCGATTCTCTGTAGGAGGTATCACACAAAATTAATCCCCCAAAAGGCCATTTTTTTCTAACACAAAAGAAAACTCGTGGTCCAATTTTCAAAATTCTTGGTGCGTTGCACTCCCATATAAGTGGCCATTACAAAAAGACTCGGCACCTTGATGGATTGTCCTTTTTCAGAAATAATGCCGCGTTGCTACTTTAGTAATATTTTTTTATGTTGTCGATAACAATCATTCATTTATATAAAGACACTCATTCATGTTTCTGATTTCTCCTGATAGTGAGAAAAATAGCACGATGCAACCTGCCGGCGTTTACATTTTCAATTTTCTACAACATTGCTAGATAATCACAATGTCCTCTTGCGAGTCAACTATTTTGAGAACAGGCCCGCAAGCTATTCATCTGGTTCTGCCTGGTGCCATGTTGGTGACCCCCGTTTTAGCCTGTGGGGAGAAACCGAAGTAGACCTTCTGGAACACAGGCACGGAGTTTTGTTACAAGGTAATAAAGAAAGTATACTATTGTTATTAGGGCAATATTATACGCTGTATTTTAACGACAATACATAAACAATTAGATATAATCAAAGACCAGGGTAATGTAAAAAAAAAAAAATTATGAATAAAAGCGTACATGGCCTGAGTACACCAGTAGTGTATTACACCATCAAACCGACGGTTATTTCTAAATAAACATAGCATGTTACTAAAACTATTACTTTGGTGGATGAGACCAGTGTGATCAGTTTCACTCTTATGACTGCGTTGCTAAAAAGTGGTTGATAAATTCATCTTCACTTAAGCGGAAAAAAAAAAACGGCAAGATAATTTCGCAAGTGCTGTTTGACAGCGAGCTTTTCCGGGTTTGGCTCAAGTGCTAGTCCGGAAGGACAACCGAATAGATGGATCACTTGAGCATATTTAAATGGCTTTGGTCCGACCCGCAAAGGTACTTTACTAGTCCGCGAAATCCAAACGACGCGCGGGTCATGCCTCTCACACCACGCTAATAATAAACAAGTAATTACGACGCAGCATCAGTAAACATCTTGGTGGCTATCCTTGTGCTAACTGCGTTAGCCTCGAGGCTAATGCACTCACCAAAACAAACAGGAGCGGTTAACAATGTTATGACCCTGCTATGACGCACAATAGACTGCCATTTGACTTCTATGGGGATTGTAGGGGATCAGTAAACGAAGCTCGACTGTGTGGAACCGCACCGTGACTGCTCTCTAGTTGGCCACCAGCTAGGCCGTGCACACACAGGACAAACGAGCTCAACCTGGCGAGGCAGAACCCAGTCGAACCCAACCCAGCTCAGACCGGTTCTCCCCAGCCGTGCTCCGATCCGGTTTTAAAAAGCCATCCCCGCGTGGATTGCTGTGTGGTGGCTGGCTTACCGTGAAGTGGTGCCACACCGTTTCGGCCCATGAACGGTTAACTGTGACACATTGGAGCGATCCGGACTGGGGGCTTCACTTTGTTGCTTTTGTCTGCACGTTGGGTCGAAGCAGCTCCACACAGCGTCGGACGGAAGGAACAGGTTTTCGTGATGTCAGCGAAACGGCAAAAGGGGGTGTGATGTATGGTCGGTCACTGCACGACACCACTTTGATGTTCGTCCAAGAAGCACTTGTGCGTGACTTTGACTTGATTGTGAATCTTTATGTTGGACATGACAACGCTCGGCGTGGACGTCATTTCATAAAAGACCTGCAAGGGCTTCTCGCTGGTGCACTTCAACGCGTGCTGCGTTCACTGTCATTTAAAGTGCAATCGCTATTCATGCTTCATGTTACGAATGCACGGCTGGGTGCGAAAATGTATTTCTCGATCAGATTTTTTTTTTTAGCTTTGTGAATTAAAAAGTGGTTGCCAGTGTGGGGAGCTGAGGTGCGCTGTTAATAAATAAATAACGTCTGTGTGTCCTCTATGTCATATTTATTAGTCAAATGACCCAGCACATGATGGGAAGTAAACTCAGCGCGGTGGCCAGCGTTTGGTGTCCCTGTCGGGCGCTTTGTTTTCGGGTTTAGTTTTGCGTGTCTTATGAAGCGTCGTCGAAAGATTGCGTGACAGATGGGGCTTTTGTGTGAGATACGACTCGCTACTAACATGACCTCCAGCGTCACGCGTCGAGCGGTGCGTGCGGTGGGAGTTGTCTGCTGAAAATGCATTGTTGTGTTGGGGGGTGGAAGAGCCGCCCGGGCTGCTGTTGCTGCTGCTGCTGCTGCGCTTCACTCCGGCTCGATCGGCGCCGAGCGATTCTCACGATTATGTATGGCCCTTTAGAACCTAAAACTAGCGCGGAGCGTATCGCCGGGAACCGAACTAGATCCCAAGTACATTTATGTCCGTATTAGCATTTGAATTAAGACGCCGATTTGGATGAGAACTCGATGTACGAAAACCGAGCCACTTAGCAGGCCGTGCCTCCATTGCTTTGTAAGCCTTGCTGGCGAGCTAACACTGTATCACAAGCTCAGGTATGTGCATTTCACTTTATTCCCTGCCATGCAAAACACTTATCCTCAACAGAATTACTCCATACGTTGTCCAAACATTGTTTTATGACGGCTTTGATTTTGTTTGACTCCATTTTTGGAGTGGGCCCTGAAGCTCTTCATGTTAGCGCCAGCTAGTTAGCTAATGTTATTGTTAGCCGCTCGGCTACTTGTGAGTCCCTAAAAATGTATTGCACTATTGAGGCTCGTAACGGTGTCAAATGTGGGCGAGTGCAAACGTCTGAGGTGACCAACTCTGTCCGCCTCACACAGCCGTGCAATGCCTTCATGCACTCACCCAACTGCAACTTTGCAAACTTTTTTTTTTTTAGTCTTGCTTTAAAAGACACAGGCTTTACTGAAGCCGTATGAGGGAAGGCACGCAAAGGCCGCAAAAAGTTTCTATACAGAAGGAATGACGACCTCATCTCCCAATTGACTAACAAACTAAGTTTCTCGGCGTGAAATCTGAACCTGTTTAGTTGAACACAGCTCTGACAGTGCGCAGCGACACACTAACGCTGTTGTATGAATGGGAATAAGTGGACACACTGGTTAATTGTACATTCTGCCATCTAGTGGAAGAGCAGTCACCATTAATTGCAAGAAATCAATTATGGTATCTCTGCCTGTCTCTCTAGCGATCTGTCCTACAAGTATATCAACTGTTCAGTTGAACAGATTTCACACTGAGTAAGTCAATTTGTGAGGAAATGAAGAAAATAATTATTTGACTTAATAAAGGCAACACCGACGTTGATAAACAAAGATACGGTATTGATACTAAATGATTTTTGGACCATTCTAATGAAAATGGATAATTTCCCGCAGCACACTCGATGAGCTGAGGAATTCACTGCTCTACTGTGTTATGTAGTCATCTGATTGGTATACACAGATGTAACGTGAATACAGAGACACAGACACACACACACACGGATAACGTTTAAATGGTGCCCAGTGAGTTTAGCATCCTCGGCCCCTTTAAAGTAAATCTAAGATATTGCTCTTATTAAATACTCAACGTGTTTTCCTCTTTAGAAACACAGAGCAACAAGATGAAGAAGAAAGCCCGGAACCACCGCGTCTCGACTGCGGTGAGGCCTCCCTCGCCCATCAAGCCTTCGCCCAACAAACAGATCCTGACTTACGCCCAGGCGCAGCGCATGGTGGAGTTTGAAATTGACGGCCACATCCATCGGCTCAGCGTCTTCGACCGCCTGGCCGTGATCTCGGACGGTGACCCTGCGTCGCGGGAGATGCTGGAGAGCGCCAACAACAAGGAGAACGCCGACAAACCGCAGCAGCAGGTTCTGTTGAGGTCGGTTCGATTAAAAAACAATCGGGAGAAGAGAAAGGCCGCGCTGGGCATCACGGCGAAGAAAGGAGGCGGCGGACATCCTGTCACTTCTAATCCTGGTCCAAAACTTCCAGAGCCAAAATTTCGGACTGTGGAATATAACCTGCCTGCAGTTCCTAAACGTCATTCTTCTTATTACAAATACGAAGAGAAGACAGAGGAAGAGCTGGACGAGGAAACGGAGTACGACATGGACGAGGAAGATTACGCCTGGCTCGATTTGGTCAACGAAAAGCGGCGAAGTGAAGGCGCCAGTCAGGTC